CGGGGGCTCGGCCCTGCCTGGGGGACGCAGGCGTTTGCTGGGGCTCGGCGCGGGTTGCTGTCAGCCTCACTCCTGGGTGTGCGTTCAAATAGGTGTAAAACCGTGACGCGTAAGGAGTCACAGCTCAGTGTTCCTGCACGGCTGAGCTGGGAACACTGTAATCACCTCATTAGCTGAGGTTAGGCTGTAACAGCCTCTCATGAAAACAAAACAGGTGACTTCTTTTTTCTTTTCTATTAGGTGCAGACATTGCTTCAGCAAATGCAGGACAAATTTCAAACCATGTCTGACCAGATAATTGGCAGAAATATCCTTTTTAACAGAAAGGTGCTGTGTGATACAGAAGCGTGTAGGTATTTTAAAGTGTATTTACCAGTGGGATTTGTAAGATGAGTTTTAAGTGACAATAAGAGTTTAAGCAAAGCTGTAGTTAAGAGAACCAAGCAATCAAAGCCCCCAGGCAGTGGTGTGCTGCTGTCAGAGTCCTTAACTGCAGTCACTCGACGACATGAGCTGCCGCATAGACGACCTGGAGAAGAACATCGCCGACCTCATGACGCAGGCGGGGGTGGAGGAGCTGGAGGGGGAGAACAAGACCCCTGCTCCCAACAAGAGCTAAAGTGAGTCAGCGGCTCGAGAGCCTTCAGACAAATCCTTGGGTCCCCTGGAATCCCTGGCTTTAAAGGAGGGGGACTGGTGGGTTTGATTTGTAGGCTGAGATCCATGCGGAGTGGAGTCACACACGGAGAGTTGTACTGTGGAGAGAGTTCTGTAGCCTTCAGGGTACCAGAAGGCTTAAGAAGTTAGTTCTGAGGAAGTTGTATTCAATAGGTGTATTCATCCTTTGGCTCTTTGAGTGAGAGCTGAAGTAATCATAGAATCATAGAATCCTTTAGGTTGGAAGGGACCTCCAAGATCATCAAGTCCAACCATTGAGCCATTAGGGCTCTAAAGTCCTCTGCTAAAACAGATCAGAATCTGTCAGGGTTGGAAGGGACCACAAGGATCACTCAGTTCCAACCCCTCTGCCATGAGCAGGGACACCTCCCACTAGACCAGGCTGCCCAGAGCCTCATCCAGCCTGGCCTTAAAGACCCCCAGGGATGGGGCCTCAACCACCTCCCTGGGGAACCCATTCCAGGGTCTCACCACTCTCATGGGGAAGAACTTCTTCCTCACATCCAGCCTGAATCTGCCCACTGCCAGCTTTGCCCCATTCCCTCTAGTTGACTGGCTTTGCAGCACAAGGAGGAGAAGAGATGGGGGGAAACACCAATAACAAAACAAACTCTTCTCTTTTTTCTCCTCTTACCATATTTGAGTGTTCTGAAAAAGGTCATGTCCTCATGTGTGCCACCAGCATCAGCTCCTGCTTTCATAGCTGGAAAGCCAGCGTGGGCCTGGTGCTGCTCTTCCATCTGCACCCTGCAGATTGCAGCTCCTCCAAGCTCCTGAAGCCTGGGCACACTCAGGTGACACCCAGGCAGGAGGGGAGGTGTGCTCTGGGGCACCACTCTCTCAAAAAAACTTCTCACTGAAAGATAAATGTGATATCACAGATTATACTAATTTCTCAGTTGTTAACCTACTCTTCTGTTACACAAAAACCCTGGAGAAGGAGATGCTTTATCTGCTTGGCAAGCAGCAGTTCAAAATCTAGTCCAAACCTCTGTAGATAAATTCCAGTGACCAGATGGCACCACACCCAGAGTTCACAACAATTGCTAAAGGCTCTTCAGGAGCTGGGGCAACACCAAAACTGCAGAAACAAAGGGGGGATTGTGGTTAATTATAATATAGAAGCTCTAAGATTTCACTTCAGAAATCCAGCTTCATTTCTGTAACCTGTGG